CTATGAAGGAAGAGAGAGATCTTCAGAGAAGAAAGTAGAGAGCCAAAGAAATGTTGTTTCTTGGAAGACCCTAGAGAGAGAAAGTCTCTCGAAGAAAGTAATGATCCCAAGAAAGGTTGTTTCTTGGAAAACTCTAAAGAGAGAAAATCTCTCGAAGAAAGTAGCGAGCCCTAGAAAAGTTGTTTCTTAGAAGACTATGGTAACATGTGATTTTTTTTTTTGGTAACTTAGTATTGTTCAAACTCGAGCTGTTTTGTGTCAAAACATCTTGAGTTTGAGGGGGAGTGTTGAGATATAGATATCTTGGGTTCATATTGATATACATCATTATGGATGTATATGTATATATAGCTTGATAAGGTTCGGTATCTAGAAGATAGAGACCAAGTTACTTGGTCGTCAAGTTATCATACTATAATTATCTCTTCTAATTGTGTGATTGTCTTCTACATATAGAGGTACTTTTTGATGTAAAGATTCATCCAATATAATGAAGATATAGCCGGTTGGGGCTTTGGATCCGTGGACGTAAGGGAACGTAAGGGTTCGGCCTGAACTACGTAAATATTATCATTCTCTCTCCCTTCTATGTTCCCACAAATTATAACATCGACAACTTAGGCCAAAGGCTAGGTGTTTGAAATCGTCAGCTCGTTTTTGTGTTTCACGCTTATTTCTTCTTCTTTTTTTTTCTTCTTGGGGTGTTTTAAGTAAGGAAAAAGTTTATATATGGGTGAGGTCCTAAACAATCAAATTAAAGCGCACATCAAAAATTCACTAGAAGAGGAGGTAATAATATAGTTGGGTGTCTAAAGAGAGAATGTGAGAGAGGAGAACGGGTTAGATGTCTAGATAGAGAATGTAAGAAGAAGGACTAATTAGTTGTTTTCTTTTTTGGAAAAAAGTTTATATAAGTTCGAGGGTCTAAACAATCAAATTAGAGCACACATCAAAAATTTCACTAGAAGAGGTTGTTTGATGCCCAAATATTATCAAATTGATCATCTCGGCATCAAGATGTATGGACATGAGAAAAAAAGGAATTTTGAGTTTTGGAAATAGCGCATATTATAATGCATTTTTGGATCGTCAATTTTAAAGATTTTCAAGCTTTCACAATCCATGCTATTTTTTAAGGTTTAAATTTTATAATTAGCTATGAAAATATATTTTAAGGCTATCAGAAAGATTTCTAGTATTGAAACTACATTTCTCGATACTATTTGAAGGTGTGCTTTATTTTGGTTGGCCTCTCGATACAAACTGCGAACTTTTTTTTATTGTAAAAGAAATGAGTTGGATTTTTAGAGTGTGACAGAGGGATGAGCTTAAAAAAATTGGGTTTTTAGAGGGATAGACAAATAGGAGGAAGACACCATGGGAAAAAGATGAGTAAAATGAGAAAAAAATGACGTAAAATGACGTAGGCAAAGTAAAAAATAAATTGTGGAGAAGTTCCTTTAAAAAACTTTGCTTTTGATTATTTGAAATATTTTCATGCTCAAGTCAGTTCGCGAAAGCTATTGGGAAAAGGGGGTGTTGAAAATGGTGGTCCGACTGAAACAAATTCTCTATATAATATCACGGGCAAAACACATGGTAAACTTTTGCCACCATTCCGCAAATGTCCATTTAATAATATTCATAAAAAAAACTCCTTGGTGTTATTCTATTCTTGAGAAACTTGTTTCTTCAAAAAAGAAAAAAAAAAAAAAAAAATTTCATTTGTTTAGAGCAAGGTTTGAAAATTAGGCGATTCAGATAGAAATCGCCTGATTTGGTTCCCTCCATATAATGGGAATGACAAGGTCCCCCCGATTTCAAGATTTTCATATGTTTATAGATCTACTTGATTTTAACTATTTTTTAAATTTAAAATTTTATAATTAAATATAAAAATATATTTTGAGATAATCCCAAAAACATTTTACATCAAAATTATCTATCATGATAAAATTTGAGAGTCCACCTTACCTCTACAGCTATGGATGCATCCGTATGCCAACTGCACCCTAT